TAAATTAAACTAGAAGAATATAATTGTAATAAGAGAAATTTGATAAAATGTATTATAAAACAAAAAAAATTGTGTAGATATGTATGTGCGCACGCTTGTTTATATAGGATATTGAAAAAAACATGTTTGTAAAAATACAAATGAACTGTATTAACATTTAAAGAAATATATTATAAAGATTAACAAACGCAATCATTTTTCACAGTTTCAACACGACCAACGATAACAGCGAATCGGTAAAAATTATAAAATATTTAATTATAAAATATTTCTGCCATGTTTCTGCATGTCGCATTTAATAAATGCTGTAACGAATTCCCCGTTACACAACAATAGTTTTATACAACAAAAAAAAAAGAAAAAAAATATGCTTAATAATAAATTTTCTAATTTCTAATTTGTAACGAATATGATCTCGTAATAATAATTTTATCTTTTTCCAAATATAATCAATGTAAAAAATTGACCTGCAAAAACAAGGCGCACACAAATATATGTACGTCCCTAAATACATACGTATCCCTTAGATTCGAATGAGCATGGTAACATACAACTGTGGTCAAAATAATACTTAGGAACAAAAATTATCTACAAGTATCTATTTATCGACAGAAAGTCACGTAGACAATATACGGATAAATGTACCAATGATGGAAATATAATCCAAATCAATGTTACAAAATGAAATTAGTATTGTTATTAATAAAAAAAACTAGATAAAATTTAATAACGCGTTAAAATATTACACAAATTGAAAATATAAATCAATTGCACTTTAATTTCTAATTGTTATAAGTTGAAAAATATTTTCGCATTGATTGATTTATTCATATTATATAATATTTGATCTACTAATTAATAAAAGATTTCTATACATTTGACTAGAATTTTCTAACGAATTTTTCTCTTTAGTTATTCGAACAACTATTGACGTCATTATTTATTAAACTATATATATAAACGTAAACAAATATCATGATAGATATTACCAGGGCAATAACAATAATATTTGAAACGTTATATAATCTTATCAGTAAGAAAAAATTAATAAATATAATATTAAGAAATGATTGAATTATTTATCTCATTTCCGCCCTTGTCATTTCTGAACTTGAGGGCAATTGTGTTGTTAAGTATATTCAAACTATATGTTTGAATTTAATTTAAAATAATATGCTTCTTATTTTAAAATACGATGTAAATAAAAATTAGCATTTACATACTTAAAAAATTAAAGATTATCTCGAAATCTTTAAAAAAAAGTATAAAAAATTTGTATAAATCAATATTAAAATTTTATAATATATATATATATATGTGTTAGGATTAATTTATTTTGATTAAAAATCATAGGTATTTATAATACCTGTTAAATACACTAAAATTGTTCAATCTAATTTTCTTTTTATCTTTTTCTTTAATTTTATTTTTTTTTTCAATAATTAAAATTAATTTTTGTACATAATAATTATTAAGAAGAAATGTATATGTAACAAAAATATACAATAATCTTACTTCAAATTAACACTTTTCAATTTCATTTCTTTTTCTTATTTTAATAACATAAACAAAGATACTTTGTCATAAAAGATTATCATTTGTCTAATGAATTATAAAAATGTTTTACTATTCAAATTTATTAAATTCTTTCTCCTTTAACTAATCAAATGTTAGATAAAAGCGAATCATTTTTAACATTTTTCAATCATTAATTATCGCACCTAAATATTTTATTAATTTAGATACAGACATGTTAAAATGAATGAAAAATGTAAAATTGATACAAAAACGAATTGATCAGAAACGAAAAAGAAAATGTTCACAAATTTGAATAGAAATAGAAAAATAAAATTCACAAATTACATATGTTGAAGTTGGATACACGAACATGGATACATAGTAGTAAACAAAGTAAAAAAAAAAATATAGGTAACTGAATCGGTAAGTTATTAAAAAAAAAAAAAAAAAAAAAAAAAAAAAAAAAAAAAAAAAAAAAAAGAGAGAGAAACGAATAGTTCATAAAAATTAAAATCATAATAATTAGTTAAAAATAAAAATTTGCATTGTATACTGTTAAAAAAAGAAAAAAGAATTATTCCTATTAAAATCTTTAACAATATTATATCATTGTTCGTTTTTTCATCGATATCTTATTATTTCGTTAATAATTAATCACATACTGAACTGAATAAATATCTTATAATGCGAAGAAATTTCAACTTAACGATGCATTTGAAAATTCTAGTCAAATGTGTCGAAAATATTTCGATTCGATGTACACTCGAGCAACAATAGTTTTATATATATTTTTTTTTGGGCTATAAAAAAAAAAAAAAGTTGAAAAAAAAAACCGAATACATATTTTTAAAAAAATTATCTCAAATATAACATTATTCGAAAAGATCGATACATATGTACCCATACATTTGTCACAAGCAAACAAAATAACAGAGAACAAAGAATTATTTTCTATTCCGTTTCGTTTGTAATCAGCATTGATGCAACAACGAAGATAGATTATTTCTAATATGTAGGTACATATACGTACATTTTATTTAACAACCGGTCCGAATAAACGAAATCGATACGAATAAATTATAATTATTATCGAATTTGATGTGATTTATTGCTACTTGCATGCACTACTTTATACCTACGTCTTATTTTTATCTTTTTTAATTCGTATACAGATTATCAACGTAATTCACGGTTTTTTTTTTTTTTTTTGCGATAACACAGAAAAAAATTTGCTACATCACATGTATTATAATACACAATGTACTAATCTTTGTCATTTCACACGCTCGCGTCTTTTTCTCGTTTCCTTCTCTTTCCTTCTTTACTTGTACATATCTATTTACACAGTTTTAAGAAACAGATATATGTTTCAATATCATATATATATATATGATATTATATATATATATATATAAATATATATAATAATATATATATATATATATAAATAGAAACATATTTGTTTATATTACAGAAGATCTATACAGGCAAAATGATCGTATCGTGTCATTAATTCGGTGCCTAAAACATCGCGCATTCGATATCATTCTCGTTATAATATTATATATACGAACTTACGTTATTAAAGAGGAAAGCAATGATTTTTCGCTAATCAAACAAACATAACGATCCTACATACTACACGTATTATATCATATTGAAATAATCGAATCACGTTGAAAACGAACGAATCGGAGGACTGAGGCATTATTCTAATCTCCATGTTCTTTGGTATAATAATGTTAGATAATTACGATAAACTGATGGAACAAAAAAATCTTCAACGAAATAACAAATTCAATGATCTCATTATAAAAGACACGCGTATAAAACCAAATATATATGTATATACGTAGAGAATAATTTGCAATTTTTTTGATTAAAAGTCATCAAAAGTTATATAAAATTATTACGAAAAATGAATTAAAAATTTTAAATCTTTACGTATAAGAAACTTAATAGTATTCACACACAAAAAAAAAAAAAAAAAAAAAAAAAAAAAACAATGAAAAATAATACGTAATTGTGACGACAAGATATCCGGTAATAAAAAATATTCGATGAATTGCTTCGTGTATTTTATGTGCACGCGTGTATGTGTGTACATAAAGATACATACGATAGATTATGTGATTATATTCACATAAAAATGCACATATAAATGTGAGTGAGAGATCAAAAATATACAGAATATTAAGAAAAAAAATTGTGCAGACGGAGAATCAAATACAACACTTTGGTTATAAGTATTATCGATACTTGATTCGCTAGAGACAAAGATTAACAAATTCGCATAT